TATGTCAAAAAATGACATTTTCTAGAATCATCATGATTATAAAAATATCACTTTTCCCATGCATAGATATATACAATAAAGCTTTTGATTGTGTAAAAATTTTAAATTGTTTCTGTTGAAGCCGATTAGTTCTAAGCTCAACATTATTATACAATCGAAAACATTAAAATAAATTAAAGTGCTGCATCCGACTGAGCTCAGAAAATCGTTAAAATACATTCTACGTCGTTTAAGATCATTAAAAATTATTCTTATTATTATGTTGAATGCCTTGAACTCTATATGACCAAATTACCTTTGTTATTTTATTGAAGACTATTTCAAGGTAACTACTCAAATTAAAATACATTTGCTTAACCCTTTAACCCCCACCACTAATCCAACAGAGCTGCTGTTGATTTCACTAAAGGAATAGATCATATGAGTGTTCAATATGACTTTCCTATGATTGAATTCGAGCGAAGTCATATCGCTGTGTAGAAATAAAATGAGTCAAAAATGACTCATTGGTGTTGAATAACATAAAAATCTGACTGTTCACTAATTTGACTTATTTTCTTGACTGCACGTTTATTTATCCATATCCAGCTATAAATCTTTTACTATTAAGAGTCATTTACAAGAAAAAACATATTTTTCAAAACAGTACGTAATAATGTTTTTCATCAAAATCAAAATTTACATTAAAAAATAGCAACTAAGGTCAATGTTAGTATGTCAGATATATTTGTTCATTTTTACAATGATAGTCTTTAAAACAATTACGTATTGCACTAAGTCATAAACAGACAAGTTACTTGCATCACTTCCACTCGAGTCATAATCGGTATGCAAATAATATAAAATATTTCAATCTGATGAAGTTGTTAAGTTACTATTTTGAGACATTATTTGAAAAAGGTAAGCTAATACAATTGATTAAGCAAGAAAAAAAAACGAAAGATAAAGAAACGAGAGCAAAACGAAACGGTAAGTTAGATATGTATATTAAATCAATACGAACGACAAAAATGAATAAGTGTTTCTTATTAAAGGGACAGACTATATTTATGCAGGAAATGAAGTGAGAAAAAAGGGCAAAGAAAGAAGTCGAGAATGCTCTTTTGTTTCTTTCCGTTGCATACCAAGAATTATCTAAGATGGATCAAAACAGTGGAAATAGAAACTAATTTTCTTTTCTTATTCAATCTTGCAGTGGCATAAAATTGCTGCCATTTTCAATTAAAATAAGGGAATAGATCAAAAAGATAAAAACCCAAAAAAAACAGAACAAAAAAAAGAGCAAGACACGGAAGAATTAAAAAGGGATAAGAAGAGAATCAAAACGTGCAAAAAAGAAATATCACCATAAGGATAATTATGAATATCATTACCTGGGTATAGTTATTGAGAAAGGGCTCTCGCTCAATTACACGAAACACTCTAAGTCTTATTAAGGAATACCAACATGATACAAAAAACGCTCGATATGTACGCGCTCGGTTATGTGTCATACGAAAATATTAAGAGACCGTCAAAAGTATGATACGAGAGAAAGAGAGACGGTTTTGATAGTTTGACGAAGAAAGAAAGTCATGGTAAAAACTAAAGATCTCTATCTTTTACCGATATAAGGTTGTTGAAAGACTATCACGACTTGGTTTTTGATTAATGTAAAAGAATACATTTTTTCATGTCATTCAACACCAATGGGTCATTTTTGATCCAAGTTGTTCCAAAGAATAGTCTTCCAACACATTGATTCAAGAGTTTGTGAAAAGGCTCTGGATAAATAGTTGATTTCTTAAGTAATATATATCAAATGTTCAAAAAAATAAATGATTAATTTGTACTAATAAAAAAGACAAAAAAAAACAGAAACAAACTGGATTTTTCAATTTTTTTTGAAAAATCATGATTTTCCAACTGAAATATTTTACTAATAAATAATGAGAAAAAATTTAATTCTTTAGCACTTTATAGCACACTGAGTGCTGTACACAATGTTAAACAACCTTCTTGATTCGATGCTTTATTGCTCCAAATAGATAGGTTTTCTAGATGGATCAAAAATCACCCACTGGGAGGTAAAGGGTTAATTAAGAACAATGTTTCAATCAAATAAGATTTTTCTGTATGAAGAGAAAATATTTTGATAGATGAAATTGAGGAAAATAATTAGACTTTTCTTCTTTTTTTTTTTGATCGTGAAGTTAAATCGTATGTGTTAACTATTTAGTTAAAATATAATTCAGATTCGACTTTTGTTAATATTCTAATATGAATGAAGACTTTCTTTAATTAACCCACTAGTCCTGGGCATTAATTCAGTAGAAGTATTGTTGAGAAAACCAGGAAAATAGTTAGGCAGATGCTGAATATAACGCCAATATAGGGAGATGCAGAATCGGTCATACATAATTGTTTCATATTGAAAAGCATGAGAAATGATTTTATGGTTAATTTGACGTTTTTTTTACATTTTTTCTTTCGTTATGTTGTTTGTATAAAGCTTGAAACCTACTCATCGTGAATTTTTTTTTTAAATGAGTCATTTCGGGAAATAATATATGATTAAACATTAGCAAAGACGATTATTTTTGTATTGATATCGTGTCTATCATTTCAAGGATTATGTAATTCGAGAAAAACTATTTTCATGTTATTCACTACGATTGGACCAGAAATGATTCTAGATGCCACGAAAAATCCTACTTTCACATATATAATTAAGAAATTTTTAAAATCTACTCCGCAAATAGATTATACTCATAATACCATACATTAACTTGACCAACATCAGAATAATCAGTCTGTGAAAGTAAATGAAAGAAAAAAAATAAGATAAGATTTATTTACTTTTTTGAAAAACAAACCCTTGTTTTCTACTTCATAAAGTTAACCCAAAGAATGATGAAAAGAAGTTTATTTTTATGAAACACGATTTAAAAGACGTGTCAAAGTATACCGGTAGAAATTTGTATCCCCCTTCCAGTCTCACAGACGGCAAAGAAACGTTAGAGACAACTCATTAAAAACCATGACAAACATTGTTGATTTATGTTCAAAGACCGTATATTAATAATGTCTCATTATAAATTATGAATTACTTCCTTATTGCATTTCCAGAGGATTAAATGAAAACATAATGAAGAGATGTGTCTCAAGATAGATAGATTAAAACAACCCTCCTGTAATTAGCAACAACAACTATATTGTGTTTCATATTTAAATCCTGTAGGAATTATCCTAATAGCTTTCTCTTTTTTTTTTTTATAAATTTGTAGCTTATTGAAGACTCTATTCAATATTCGGAAACTGTCTCGATTCGATCTTTTGTTACTGCAAATGAATAGTTTTTATGAAGAAGTCAATAATACCACCAATATAAGATGGAAGATAAAGTAAAAGCTATATCATTTCTAAAAAAATAAATAATATAAAAGAATAACATAATATTTTCATAGAAAATTTTTTTATTGATTAATCTTATAAATATTTTGCTTTTAAGTAATATAAAAAATGTTGTTTTCTTTTATATACCTAATAAGTGACCTACATTTTTATGTGATACAGAAATATGTTGTAAATAGTACTACGGAAATAAGTATTGAGGTTGTTCCACTGCCTATATCTTTTATGATTAATGATTGTAATTGATTTTGTTCTTTTTTTACATAAGAACGATTGGCATATTCCTGAGTTATTTTACTATCTATCTGTCCGATCATAAAACCAAAATAACGAGGAAAGAAAAATGAAGAAGCAAAACAAAAAAAAAAAAAGGAAAAAGGTTATTTTTGTAGTGTTTGTCAGTAGACATATTTTCGACTATCATTATTTATTCATTAACGTTCTCAAAGGTTTATTGCTCGACTTAAAAAGCTATTTTGCATGAAAATTACTTTTGACGCTGACAAAAATAAAAAATAAGCAAATAGGTTACGGTGTTCAATGAAGAGAAATTCAAGTGATAACAGATCTTTCGATTCACTTGAACAAAAAAGAAAGGCATAAAATGATGTTCAGTGAAGATAAATAAATAGAGAAGACAACATTGTCATTAATAATATTTTACACTTTCTCATCTATGTGTCTTTATTAATTTATTATATACATAATATAAATATATATATATATATTCTAAATAATGCAATGTCAAGTTGTCCGATTCTATTCAATATTGTTTGTGCAGATAAGAATAAATCATCTATTTGACATCATAATTAATAATATATAGATGTTTACAGTATCACAAAAACTATTCATGAGTAAATAATATTAATTTGAACATCAAAATGTTTATTTTATTGTTCAACTAATGGTATTATTAATATTATTCTATTTTTAGATCGGAAAGAAAAATCCATGGACAGCCTTGTCAATCAAATGATAATTGCAGTATTGATAGATCACTCTGATAAAATATGACAAGATGATGAAAATATGTAGAAGATCAAACTCATTTGTTGTTGATGTTTATATGTCAAGTTTTATTTCTTATATCTGAACAAATAAATGTAAATAAATGGTGTACTTGAATTTGGTAACACTGATGAGTAGATTGTGATAGTTACCTTAGTGTCATTTCTTCTATCAAATGAAAGTAGATAAACTATTGTTATTTTTCTAATATTAACACATAGACCATTAAGAAAAAATAAAAACTAAGATAATGCTAATAGCTATTGTGGCTTTATCATCAAATATCAATTTACAAAACGCTAAACTAGAAGTATAAATATCAAGAAAATAACAATGAACATAGTTTAATAATAATTTGTACGGCATATGATTACTGGATTTGTATATGGTGGTATTTATGTAAGGGCATTTTAATAAGCAAAGAGAATTGATGGCATCAGGATAAGAGAGAGATAAGAGAACATCGATGATGTTAAGAGAGAAATACGAAGAAAAGAAAGAAGAAAAAAACAACTCTGTAACTGTGGAACAAAAATTGAATGAGATTCATTTGTATTTTGTTCTTGGTTTCTTAAACCATCAAATACAAATTTGCCATGAATAATTCATCAAATTTATATTCAACTCAAAGCCAGAATGATATACAATTAGCTGATCGCCTTCTTTCTATATATTCTCTAATACTTATTTTAATTGGTACACCTTGTAATTTACTTTGTTGTTTAATTTATTTTCAAAAAGAAAATCGTTCCAATTCAATAAAACAAATATTTGGATATTTATCTATACTTGATACCATTGTTTTATATACATTTAATTTAAATTATGTCGTTCGAGAATTCAATATCGATTATGAATTTGTTTATGACAATAGAAATGGTAGTAGCAATGAATATTCAGATTTTCTTATTAATGGTCATATAAATATTATAATTGTTAAAAAAAATCTTGAAGAATATTCTCTGTCCATATGTCGTTTTCTATCTTATCTAGGTAAGAAATTAAAATGAAATTTGTCTATTTTCATAAATTTTATCTCAAACTAATTTTACAGAGATCTTTAAATACATATTTTTCTACATTTTCTTTCAGCTTTTTCCACATTACAAACATCATCTTGGGTACTAGCATTCGGTTCATTGAATCGCTATTTATTAATATCAAAATTAACATTTCTTCAATTTATTTGTAAACGATCTTATACAACTTTTATATGTTCATGTATAACAAGTTTATTTTTTCTTACAAATATTCATATACTTTGGATGAATGGTTATCGTTCATCAAAAGGAAGTATTATATGTTATCAAAATAAATATTATACTAATTATATGTTATGGTATCAACGCATACATTTATGTTTATATTCTGCGTTACCAAGTATTATTTTATTTATTTTCAACACTTTATTAATGCGTCTTGTATTTGCTAGTAAAAAAAGATTAACTAAACATAAACGACGATCACCATCTAGCGCAAGATCAACTATAAGACCAGGTCGTCGCAGATGTTTTTCGTTAACACCTTTGTCAAAATCATCATCTGAATCGAAGAAAGATAATACAACAAGAGTAATTAAAGGTCAAAGTAGAAAATTAACTTTATCATTAATATTTATAACCGTATCTTATTTTATATTAACATTTCCATCAACAGTTATATTTTCTTTTTTTCGTTCATATATTGAACCATTAAGTTTAAGACGTACATTATCACTTTTATTTACAAATTTATCAACAACAACACATGTTATTCGATTTTTTATTTATTATTTTTGCTCAGTTGATTTTCGAAATGATTTTTATAATTTATTTACGTTTAAACGTTCATTTCGTTTTCAACTTATTAACACATCACAATAAAATACATTACACAATGATATATTAATTCACTGTAAAATAATACAAAAAAATTAAGATGACTAAATAAAGAAAACTAAAATCTTAAAGTACACAGAATTATTATGATTCTCATTTCATGATTACGTATTAAATGCATGCATGATTATCAATTATCAAATTCTCATTCTTGAAGAGATATCTTCGAACAATACTTTCATCATATTGTTTTCTTCTAATGATCCAATATGCTCTGAAGACATATTTTGCCATGGATATCAACGGCTCATTGACGACTACATATTTTATCTTCTTTCATTATACTATGACAAGTAATCCCATTATTAAAGTTTCAGAAGCTTGTCTAGCATAGATATTATACATGACGTGTTCATTAATCTACTATGCTTAACAAACATGGAAGCACGTATTTTTCATAGATACATTTATTATTCATCAGGAAATCTAATTGAATCGTATGCATGTACGTATATACTTGAATAATTCTCGAGAATAAAACAGAAACCATAGTGAGCAACACAAAAGTTTCCGTTTTGTTTGTTATTGGCTATGAATGCCTTGAAGCATATATACTATTGAGATCATTTATGTATTGATTGACTTCATCGAAGAAAAAAAAGAATCCAGGCGAATAATTCAATTAATATCACATAAATGGATTTATCATTTCAAGAAAATATACAATAGTTTATTAACTTTCTTTTTTTTTGGTACATAATTGTTGTGCCTCAGGATATCAATATCAACATTTATTTATTTTCAGAGAGATTCCCAGTGATATAGAACATCATCATGGACAACAACAATATTTTAGATAAAAAATGCTTTTGATTAGATTCGAACTATGTTCTTTATTCATTTCTACACATTTAACAGATTCATCCAAAACATTTCAAGAATATATACAAAAAAAAACACATTTTCTTTACATATAGCAAATGTCAATTAAACTTCATTATTATCATTATTAGACATTGTTTGTTGAATACGTTTACGCAATTCATTGACTTTTTCTTCTTGAGCACGAATATGTTCATCTGTAATGTTAACATACTAAAATAAAAAAAATAAAAAATTTTTTTTTAGTTTTCTTTTTCTAGTTGAAAAAAAAACAAATAATGTATTTTGTTTATGAACTAACATTAATTAATGGTTGATCACGTTGAATATAAATAGTTGGATTTTTTTGAAATTCTTTTTTTTGACCAAATAATGCACGTGAATTGCTATAAAGATGAAGAGATGTCGCTAGACTTATAAGAACTGTTTCCGGTGACATGTTAAGACCAACACCTGAAATAAAGAAATTTTTTTTTCCTTTCATAAATCGAAGTTAATAGATTATTCTATTATAGATTTATTTCAAATTCAAGTAAGTTTCTATGAGATTAATAAACCATGAGTGAGTTCCTCTACATGAATTTCTAGAAATAAGAACTAGAAAATCATGTTGAATTGCTAATATTTACTATTAAATGAAGTGTTGACATTCTTGTTTATCCTGTTTTTTTAATTAAATTTATCAATTACAAATATAAGGATATGCAATGTTGCTGAAGGATACTTAAGCAGTAAGTCCGCAATATAGCATCTACTGGGGTATTGAATATACTAACATTCACGTTCGCTGCAACATACAGAAATAATCTCTATCAAAATATGCCATTTTTAGTGTAGGTGTATTCCAACGCTTCAGGGAACACTGCTGTCAGTTTGCATTAATTACACTGAGTTGATGGTGATCAATAAACTGAAACTGGATATCTATATACAAAACTCTTATTGTTAGATTTAGATTGCGAATTTAAACTTCAATTAAAATATATTCTAAACTCAATTACTGTTTCGTTATCACATGAGTTATCAGTTGAATTTTATGAATGAAAATTTCAAATATATAGATTCCGAATGTAACATGACACACTCAATGTTAAAACAAAAACGTTAATTAAAAGTATGTTAACGAAGGAAGTATCTGCAATATTTAGCTTCTTTTTGATTCATTATTCAAACCTTGCAGTGACTTATCAAGGATTTTTCAG